TCCTGTTCTTCTTTTTCCATATAGAAATACACTTGTATTTTTGCATCTGTGATTGTTTGATTGTTCATGGTAATCAGGCCTTGTGCATTTAATTAAATAAGTTTATGCTTATGTAAATTAAATACATGCATAGGTATATCAAGCATTTTTTAAAACTTTCTAAGTCTAAAATGTTTAATATTATTATTATTTTAATTAACCTTTATTTCATTCTACAAATTTAAACAGAACAGAAATAGCATTGCAACTAGTGCAACATTCATCATCCATGCAAACAGAATTTAGTGAAGGACAGTACACAGAGCATTTTAACCAGGGGTATTTTACATTGCACTAGAATGATAAATACTTGAAGATCGTCGAAGTGAGAGGGAGAGGATTGTAAGTTTTGATATATTGTTTTTGCTGCATATTGTCTGTTAAAATGTGTGAAAAATATTTCCATTTAGATTGTGCCTGGCCATTAAGTATCCCAGTAGGGGAGTTGAAGGGAGTAAGGATTCTCCCCTGCCTTGGAAGGCCATGCCATGTAAGAGCTATCCACATCACAGCTGTGAGTGTGCCAGGAAGTGCAGGGGTTTCATGCCAGATATTCCTCTGGGAGAAATTTGGTGTGGCTATGGATCTACCCCTGTGTGCTGGCCAGCAGATCAGGCTGGCTGTGCAGCAGGGAGTATGTTGTACCTCTAAAGGTGTGTCACAAATTATTCCCTCCATGCCAGAGCAACAGGAGAGCCCAGGGAACATTGGCATAATGCCTCCTGGTCTTCTCCACTGCGATGCGTTCTTCTGGGTAGCCTGCCAGTTACATAATCTAGCTCAAATTTGCAGTATGCTTTCTTAATTGTTCACATTCAAAGCTTTTATTGTAACTCACCATGCACTATACCATCACACGTTGATAGTTACAGCGTCAGACAATAACAGAGGGTTTTAATGTTAGCCTGCAAAGCCTAAGGCAAACATAGGTCTATTTCTTTTTCTTGTGTGTGTTTAATTCTTTCCTTTTCCCATGAGACCTTTAGAATAGCAAAGTTAGCTCAGACTTGTCAGGTTCAGAAAAAAGAAAAATTCCTTCTTATCTCAAATTCAAGTCTGAATATTTTCTTTTAATGGCTTATATGATGTTTAAAATAGTTTTGGTTTAAATGATAAAGTTGTATTGCTTGGAGATGGAGTGCAGTCTTGATTATGTCTTTTCTTTCTCCCCTTTCTTTTTTCTTCTCATAGGTCATGGGAATAGAACTCCCGGTTATGTTTAGATCACTCATTCACTTATTTCTTTTTTTAGTATTTTAAAGCTCTTTTATGATTTCCCTTCTACTGTTTTGTTTGGCAGGGAATTTATGACTGAAAAAAGCCAAAAGAAAAAGTTCCACAGTAGCAAGATGCCATATAAACCAGGATCCCATACCTATAATCTAAATGGCCAAAAATGATAAATACTCCCATTAAAAAGCATATTTTAAAATAAAATCTGGAAAATATTGTATTAAAATGTTAAATGTAATAAAATGCAATTTGTTAAAATAAGACTCTTCTTACAGGAAAAATAGCAAGGGGACAAATATAATACATGAATCATTATATGGAACAAGCAGTTTTGTACAGTTTGAATCACAGCGTCATTTCATTTTGTTAAATATATTTTAAATCATGCAATGATTTTTAAAGTGTGGAATTAGTTCAAGCATTTAGCATTAAACATTTGGCTTCAAAGGTCTGAAAAATGAAGATCTTGTTTTATTTAATTAAGGACTGAAAATTTGTTCTTAAAGCAATAAGAAATTACCAAGTGCGTTTTTAGGTGATTATCACATATGTTAGGTTGTTATACTGATTGACTTCATGTAGAAGCTATTATAAATAGATTGCCTAGCACCAACATCCTGTCCCTGACATGGGATAAATTACGGGCATGAGTACATGTAAATGGTGTGTGTATCTATTAAACACTTTGGAGCCCTATATCTACTTCTGCAAAGGCATATATTTAGGGTTAAATTTGGGGAGGCTATTGTTCCATGTTTTTGTGCCACATTTTTCAGGATATATTTTCCCAATGGGAAACCAAAAATATGTGTCTGTTTTTTTATATTTCATTTTCTTTACCAAAACAAAATTTGATGGAGCTAATGGATATGGGTCTTGTGCAACAAATGAATTTTGAGAAGAAGATGTTGTGGGGACTAATGATTGTGCTTTATTAATCATAATCAGTGGATTAAAGTTGGATCTATGCATTCATGCCACTTACTGTATAGGGCCCCACTAGTACTGCTTTTGCCTTACAAATTTGTGAAGCTGTGAAATAAATATCTCATCTATCCTGGTTTTCATACAGACAAAGGATGTGATGTGGAAAGTGCTGAGAGCCTCCTGCAATGTGCTGTGTACACTCAACTTCCTCTGCACCTGCCAGGATCATATCCTTAATTCATCCTTTATTAAAGAAGTAACATAAATTTTGGCAATTTTTAGAAACTACAATTTGTGTTTCTAGTGTTAAAATTAGAGATGGTCGGAACTGGAATTTCAAATTTGACCCTGCTTCGCTTGAATCTCAGAAGTCCTTCAGATTCCAAACCAGTAAAGAGCCTGTTCAGATGCAACCAGCACATTTTGTGAGAACAGCCAGTATAATGAGAGTTCTTCCATTTTAGATGAAATCGCACAACAGCTTTTAAGATTTTGGTGCCATTTAAATCTAGCTACCATTTGACTTGCAACACACACTCTGAACCCTGTTTTAAACCAACAGTGTTAAGGGAGGTACTGTGATCCCATACACCATCGCTGCTCCACCAGAGAAGGGACGGACTGACACCCAGCCTTGTAGGGGAAAAAAGGGCTGTTGAGTTATAAAGCCTACAAAGAGGGTTTGGAAAAGGATGGCTAAAATGGAGAACCCTGCATTAACTGGGCAAAAAAAGACCAGCAAGCTTTGAAAGGGCTGGATGAACTAGTTTGTTTAGTTTGGACATGTTTTGTTGATCCTTGGAAGGAGAAGGACTGTTTTATCGAGGTTAGTATGAAGGACTGAACCCTACAACACTGATTGATTGTGGCCCCCCAGCTGGAAGAGGGGAAAACTGAAGCATGACAGCCAGATGCTGCAAAGAGTCTGAGCCAACAGAGACCCACAATCTGAACATCTGGCTTTAGAAATATAGAGTGAGCACATTTTATTTCTCAAAGAATTATCCATTTTGATATTATGAAAACATTATCACCCTCGCCAAATACCTTCTAGAATTTTACAATACTCAGCTATTTTGCACATCTCCCAGTCAGTCAGAGTGTGATAACAGCAAAGTATTTCAGGAGATATGGAAATTGCTTTCATCATTATGGTAAAGGCTGAGTGGGAAGTCTTTTCCTCTAAATTGGATGGATCCAGCTGTAATATTTCTTTGTCACACAACTACTATGGAGACTATGTCTCCCTCATGTTGAAAACTGCCCAAAAGCACATCCCTAGGGGCTGTAGGACACTAAATATACCTGGTCTTTTAGAAAAACACAAGCCAAAATAGAAAAGATATTCAGAACTGTTTGACTCGGATCCCTTTGGTGAAGAAAAAATTGGGCTTGGGGAAATGTTTCTGAGATAGATCAGAAAGGAGGGATGCTACTCTTGGAGGGAGCTGATTGAAAGAACAAACCTGTGCCGTAATTGT